TGTCGCAATTCGGGCATTTGAATTTTTTCTTCATTGGCTGGTGAACATTTTCGACGTGTTCCCGCAAAGTTTGTAAACGAATGAACGATTTTTCGCACATTCCACACTTCTGAATTTCAGGGAAAAAATGAAAGTAAAGCACAAAAAACAACCAATAATGAAACAAAAAAATAAAAATGTAAAAATTAAGAAAAAAAGTCACAGTAAAATGATGATTAATAAAAAAAAGCAAAATTACTTTTCGCATGTTTAATGTTTATAGTTGAAACACAAACACCTAATTGCCGGTTTTACAAATGTCGAAAAATAGTTGTCACATATATACAATCTGTCTGAAGTTGGCTCTCACAATACACAACTTTATTGAGTGAATGCTTTTGATATTTCGACTTGTTAAAACGATGCATTCACGTTTTTTATTGCCGATTAATATTTTTTTATGAATAAAACATTTTTTTAAAAGATTGGCAATCATAATATTCATTAAATTAACCACTAGAAACATATTTGTGGATTCATTTCGTTTTGATATTAGAATAGTAATCGATACGAAAGTAGATGGCGGTAGGATGTAAAAATCTTTTTGCAAAAGTGACATTTCAGTACAAAATACGTTTTGATATTCCTACCCGGCACTATATATGTAAGATATTCCGCAAGACACCGTAGCTCACGAACGAAGTGAGTGCGGACAGCAAACATGTTGACGCATACACACAGTTTATTCTACTGCCGCACGGAAATTTGTGATTTTTTCCGTCTACACTGACTTCGATCGTGCGATACGGTGCCGTGCGGCAATATCTTTCATATATAGTGGACCGATATAGTATAGATATCGACACTATTTAGTGATATTTCTATATATTATGGACACACTGTATTAATGAGATGAGTCTTTTATTATCATTTGAGTGGAAATGATTAAGTTTGTACATTTTTCATGCAAATAATTCAAGTCTGTCGGGCAAGATTGTGAGTGTTTTTATTTGGGTTGTTTATTTTTTATATACATCACACGCAAAAATTTTGAATATAAAAAAAATTGACGCTTTTATCGATGAAAAAATTCAAAAATTTTAAAATATTAAAACAACGTTACTGTTTGTTTCAATATCACGTATGTATTCAAAGCAATTTTGGTTATCAATATGTGAATGACTGATAAATAATTTTGAAAAAAAAAATGACATCGCCAGGAGCTGGCTGAACAATATTGCGTTTTAAACTTCTTCATGTTTGGAATCTGGTGGACTCATTGGGTAACTCGTTCAGCGACTTTTTGCAAATTTGGGTTCGACACCAACTTTGACTGGTGGGTTTTCAGGTGAATCCATGCGGGGTTTTTCTGCATGTAAACCTCACTCGAATCGAAATAATACACACCAGTGCGTGTTCGAATAAATTTTTTCTCCAAAATTTGTGAACCTCCTCGAATCTCAATGACGGGTTGATTATAGAAATTTGCATATGTTACAGTATGTCCATCCATCACAGCGACAGTAGGTATTACAAATTTTGTTACGGGATCACACTCTTTGCTAGCATTGAACATCATTCATCGTTTTGAATCCATCCTCCAAAAATTCTGCCCAGTTCACATCTTGTTTTGATCCATTTTTCAATAGTTTTGAGCGAATTTCCTTAATTATAAGATCTTTGGTGTCATTTGCATAGCGAGAACAGCCTTTTTGATAAATAAGTGCATAAACCCCAATTTGTCCGAATTTTTCAGAAATATTGAGTAATCCGTATTTTGATGTACTGTCACTTTGAATCTAATATTTTGCACTTTTGTGACTATCAAAGTTCAATTCTTTTGATTCCTTTGTTAACTGACTGGAATATGATATCATTCCGGTTAACAAAACGAAGATACAAATATTGGAGCTTATCATGATGTTTAATTAAAATCGTTTCAACTGAATGATAAGCTCAAATCTAGACGCAAACAGAAAGTAAAGAGTTTTTTTTCGCTTTTTTCTAAACATGTGCAAACTTTTTAAGAAAAAGTCGTAATACTTTTTCAAACAACTCAATTTTGTGTAATGATAATTCTTAAAAATATTCAACTTTATAGAATATTTCTTCAAATTAGCGATCCCGGAAATCACACATATATGAGAATATTTTACCTTGTAAAAAACATTACATATCTAGTTACATAGTGAAATTAAAATTTAAAACATTTGGTCTTCGTTTTCCGAATATTAAACCCGTTTTACTGTTATGCCATAAGTTGAAAACTAGATTTGCTTTGACCAAGGCAATATATAAAAAAATGATTTTCATCTGAACCGTAATTGCCTTTAAAAATATATATGTTTTTTTAGCTTGTATGCTATTTAGCTTTGCTTTTTCTTTTCATTATAACTTTTAAGTTGTTTGTTGGAATGTCGCCGCGCACACTTTTTACATCCGAAATAAAACAGTACAATTAAAATAATGATGTGACATACGAAAACAATCGTAACAAATGCAATAATGTCAAATGAATTGCCCACAATGTAGCCAAGCGTTTGTACAGGTGATTGCATGTTATCGATGTTTGGATATCGTAAGAGCCATTCAATCCAAAAAATAGCTCGATCAAGCGGCTTTTCACTTTGATCATGGAGAACATTTGATAATTTCTTCACATTTGCCGAATACGTTGGATCTTCAAGCACTTTCAACAGTGTTTCTTTGGTACCGTTAAATGACAACGAATAAAAATCAAGACTCTCAGCAATGCGAAGCTTTTTCATCTTGTTCATATTCTGTAAAATAATAAATAAAAACATCTTTTATATGAAAATCATATGTGCAGACTAGAGAGAAAGCAAACCGCATTTTGATCCAGTAGAAATGGAATAACCACCATTGGTACACCACGATGAATCGATTCCAACAAACTAAGTAAGCCTACAATTAAAAATGAAATCATTTTTCAACAAAAAAAAACATCAATTTATTACCTCCATGTGTGATGAATGCTTTTAGTTTCGGATGAGCCAAGACGTCCGCTTGAGGAATCCATGGTAGAATTTGGACATTACTTGGAAGGTCCTCAGACGTAAAATTACTTTCAAACTTCCACACAAAGTTGTAATTGGTCAATTCGCTAAAAACATCAAGAAATAATCTCAATTTGTCAATCGGCACATTGTCGCTGCGTATGCATGATCCAAGTGAAAACAATACTGCTCCCTTTTTTGAAGAGTTTAAAAATAATTCCAAATCCTGTAAAATTTTTAGAAAAGGTTACACTTTGTCATTTCCTTATTATATCAATTAAATACCATTGGCATATCATTCACTTCACCGATGTGAATACCTGCGATCGAAATCACTGTAGGCAACATTGGTCCCAAATTATCAATAATCGGATGTGCATTGATCAGAGCGAGTTTGGCACGTTTCTCCAATTGGCTGATTGGAGGTAAATCGGAGCCAAAATATTTTGGCATAATCATATCTAGCTCATCTAATATGATATATTGCCGAACACTTGAAATTAGAAAAAAGCCTATTGCTTATAACTGAATTTTGACAAAATGTTTAAAAGAAAATCTCACAAATGTTCGGCTAAAAGGACTGAAAAATTGATAAAACGTTGCCAAAATGTCATGGTGGTATTGTAAGCCAGAACTGTGTGAGAAACATATGCATAATGTTCATGTCCGCCAATAATGCTACTTAAAAGTGTTGAATATGAAAACGGGGTCGCTACTACTAAAAGAGCCTTTTTAAACTTATGCAAAAATGGCATCAAACACGGTCCACCCGTAAAATCATGAATTATCAAATCAAACGAATCATGCGGATAGTCCAACAGCTGATGAAAGGCTGCGGTTTGTAATACACCTAAAGAAAAATGAAACGATGCATTAGGAATCCATTATTTATTTAGTCAATTTGCTCACATACTGAAACACATTTTTCTTGTTAACACAGCCAACTTGAATAATTCAATGATGGTACACAATTTTTCTCTTCTTCTGAGTGCTTTGTTCATATACTCCTCAAAATCATTTTGACGAATGTCCGTATGTAAATATTGAACTCCATTTGGAGGATTTTTTACAAAATATGGCGATAGAATCGTTACATTATGATTTCGTGATCCAAGAGCTCTACCAATCACACTATTCCTGGTGAATTGAAAATCTTGAAATGTAAAAAGAAACGTTCCAATAATACACTTTTTTCAAGTATTTTTACCACTTGTGATGAGAATATGACGGCAAAGCACTTAAAATCAAAATATTAGCTGCATTGACATTTGCCAACACTAAAATGAACAAAGAACTTACTTTTAACAACATTTTAACAAGACTGTTAAATATTTCTTTTTTATACGATATAAAAACAAATTATTTGATGGTTTTGCTTTTCGAAAGTAATACTCATCAAGTGATGTCAAGCTCGTTCACAAGTTCAAACCAATTTCTATTCGTTTCACAAAGTTTGTTTCAAATGTAGTGCAATTCATATGTGACAAAAATAGTTGAAGAAAATCCATAATATCATGTCACCTCAGACAACAGCTCACGTGTTTCCAAATAAATATAGTTTTGTGTGACACAATTTTGACCTTCCTGATACCAGTTTTGTTTTTTATGTGTGTTCTCTTCTGCTTGCGAAATGACACCACTTGACTAAGGTTGTCTTGTAAAAATCTAACAACTACTTTGTTCAACAACATCAAATGCGTTCACAAAACTCATAAATACAATTTCTAATATGTGTTATCTTTCTATCGTTTAATTGATGAAATCGAAAAAAATGAAAAACACTATATTATATCTACGATCACAAGTTTTATTATAAACACTATAATCGAGAACGAAGCGATAGAAATGATCGCAATAACATCATACGCATTCCCCACGACATAGTCGATTGAAAGATTTGGTGACTTTAAATGTTTTGAGCCATTCAATCCACCAGATGGCACGTTCAAGTGGCAATTCCTTCTGATCTTTGAACTGCTGCGACACTTTTTTTTGCATTTTCAGAATATTTTGAATTCTTTAGAACTTGTTTTAGCTTTTCCTTGACAATTTCTGTAGTCATTGTTTGAAAGTTTAGCTCTTCAGCGAACCCCAATCGAATGCATTTCAATAAATTCTACAATTAAAAATAAAAATCCATAATATTCACATCATGATTTATGATGTTCATTGTAGATACATTTACTCTTTTCCTTTCGCTGCTAAATGGGATTCCGATGGTTGGAACTCCTTTGTAAATCGCTTCATGTGTACTTAATAAACCTATGGAAGACATGAATATAGCAAATAAATGCTCAATCCAAATTGTGCACGGGTTACCGGAATGTGGGATGAAGGCTTTGATTCTCGGATGTGCCAGTATGTCTGACTGTGGCAACCATGGATGAATTATTACGTTTTTCGGTAACTCCAAGTCGATCGTTTCATTCT